ACAAAATAAAATTATTTAAATAGATTGAATGTATAACCTTGATTTGTTTAGCATAAATCTTTGTGCCAACACATATGATTAATAATTAGTAATTAAAAATTAATTTATACTTTAATACATTAATACCCTGTTAAAGTTACTATAAAGTTGATAATGATAAAGTAAAAACTAGTGTTGCGACTAATATAATAAAATGTAAAAGTTGTTTAAACACTATTGTGGCCCCAAATGGCTCGAGTGTGCATCGAAGGATATTACTGTATGTTACTCAAAATAATAATTTTATAAAAATACAGCTTATAAATTTTAAAATTATTTTATTAATCCAATTTATATGAAAATAAAATCTTTTACATAATACTATCGCATTGTATTACAAATATAAAATGCTAACTCATAACATGAACATGTTAAAATCTTATCAGCATCGCCCTGTCATCATCATCAGTGGCACCGGGATTAACCCTACCTCCCAGTCCCTTATTCATGATACTCTGTTCCTGATTACGCCTAAACATCCTGTACTGGACGGCTATCATACCCGCCAGTGTCAGCACAATGAGTGACATGAAAAACATGGTCAACGGGAATACCGCCCGGAATTCCCGCCAAAACCCGTGATAGTTGTGGCTCTCGTGCTCCTCATCGGAAAAGGGGTACAGTTTCTGGACGTGTTGTATCATATATAGGGGTGTGGGTGGCTCGGTATGAGCAGGGTGAATTTTGATCACTTTCTCACGCTTAAACTCATGTGTTCCAGTAAGTACTCTAGGTAAATTTGATGATTGTGTAGTTTTTATTTTAGCAGGGGTAGTTTTGGCCTTAATTGTATTCGGTTGATCGGTATCGTGGTCCATAAATTGATCTAGATCATAATCTACTCTAGCCTCAGGTATATCAGTAGGTAGCACGCATACACCGCTATGATATGGGGCGACGTCTAAGCAAGCTACATTTTCGGCCCAGTCAATTACCTAAATAAATTTTAATAGATACACATTTTAAATAGTTAATTTAGTAAACACAAAATCTTACCTTGTTAAAATAATGTTCAGTGTGAGCCAGTTCAACGGGCATGCACCTGACCCAGGCTATTTCACGTACGCAATCAATATCGTCCCACAAATAGCAACATACATTTTCCAGGGGCGGATGGGTGTGGGTACTTATATTCCACCTGAGCTTGGACACTTCATCGCACTCTAACCTAACGTCCCGTTTAATACTACCTAAACAGTCAATGGTCAGGGGGTCGGGTTGTGGGGGTCTGGGCGGGTCGATAGAGGGTGTAAACTCGGATAGTACAGTATCAGTAAGTTCCTCGGTCATATTAATGTTAGTGTTATTGTTATCAAGGTTGATTGAAGTAAAGTTGTCTGGGACATCTAGTATTTTAGGTGGTTCATCGCTGTTTGTTTGAACTAGTTCAATTACAATATCGGTATCTTCGGGAACATGTATGATCTCTGGTAATTCATTTGTGTTAGATGTAACCAGTTCAATTGTCATATCTATAGTCAAGTTATTTCCTTTATTATCATCAGGCAATATGCATACATCACTGTGGTATGGTGCTTGGTCACACCCAGCTCGCTCGGTCCAATTAATTAACTAGAAATAATAAGATTATAAAATATAAAATTTTATATATTGTTAATAAATTAATAATTGTTCATGAGCCATTCAGAAATGTATAATAATACTATTAATTGTTTGTTATAAAAGTTATAAAGCTACTGTTTATAAAACAAAAATTTTTATATTAATTTAATTTTAAAAATTTTTAATTCTTAAGGGTTTTAAGTTATTATTTTTATTTATGTTGCAATTAAATTTAAGTAATTACAATTTAACTTACTAGTTAAGTTATACGTTTAAATTGTATTTAATTAATTTTATTTTTAAAATAACAAAAATTATAACCCTCATGGACCTCTACCCCAATATATTATTTTTAATAAATTTTGATTATTTTTGTTAATATAAAATATATTTCTACAGTTTCTTTCTATATCTGTAACCAAATAACCTGGTTCTGTTTTATCAAATAATTTTTATCAAGTTTAAAAATGCTATAAATTACAAACCTTTCTAAAATACTCCTCGGTAACAGCCAGCTCAATGGGCATACACCTGACCCAGGCAATTTCTCGCAAACAATCCAGGTCATCCCAGACTGAGCAGCATATATTAGTTAAATTATACGGAGGGTGACCTGTCACATTCCACTTGTACTCCGACACATTAGCGCACTCTAACCGAACATCCCGTTTAATATTACCCAAACAGTCAATGGCTAAGGGGGTAGGTAGGGGAGGGGTGGGTAGCTCCGGTAGGTCGAGTTTGGACATCATAATGTTGAGGCATTGGGGGCTGTGTCTGGTGTGGGAACTGCAGGTCTCGTTGGCGTAGAAGCCCTCGACGTTTGCGAACCATTCGCTTAAGTCTTGTTTTTCTTGTTCACTGCAATCGGACTGTAAATGAAATGTAAATTAATTTATTTTATAATTAAACTAAATTTTGTAATTATATTTTGGCACAAATCAAAAACTGATTTTTATATTTTATATTATTTTTATCTATGTTTACTCTGTTAATATTTTATTTAACTAACCCCATA